GATATAAAGAAACGTTTAGTATTTCAAACCCCAACATGTTGCAATAAATGTAATATTTTGAATGACAAATTTTAATTGAATTATCTGGGATTTAGTAAAGTCTCATTTAAAGGGAATGAAAAAACAGCTGATTCATGACAGAAATGTTGACTAATAGTTTGTTCCTATTATGCCCGTGACTGATAATAGACACAAAATTCACACAGGAATGAAGGGATGGTTCTTCCTGTGTAAGCACTTTCCTCTCGGGTATACTCCCTCAGTGAATGATATCCTGTTTCCTTACTACTGCTCAGAAGGTGGAAGGAAAAGCAGGGTCAGTTTTCACTAAGTAGTTCCCATGGAATAGTTTGAATAAAAGTACTCTATTCTAAGGCAGTCCATGTTTCTACAAACACAACCCAGTCCATCAACTTAAAATAAAAGCTGGATGCTCAGGACAGCTTTCAAATGCACACACTATATATGCATATTAACATAAATTAAATAAAAGGCTTGGGAATTATGAGTGTATGTATCTGTGCACACACATTACATATATACAGAGAGAGAGAGAGAGAGAGAAAGTTAGCGTTTTGATCACTGTTGTTTTGAGATTCTCTTTTAATTACACAGATATAAAATCAGAAGCTACAGAAAAGCCGATAGACTGGTTTACCAAATATGGATGGTAATTGAGATTGGTCCATATCTGGTTTTAAATTCTACCAACAGGGGTCACCCTTGCACATGAATAGCATACTCTGTTCCTAATACTTTACAGCTGATGCTCAAGAGCCCTTCTCATGAACAATACTGAGTAAGTCTGGTTCCAGGATTTGCACTGAATTAACTACATGCCAGGATCACTTAAACCCATATACTTGCTATAACTGTTGGTATAGGCTGGAATTGGTTAAAGCAAGAATCCTTTTCATACGAATTGATGAATAACATGACAATTTATCATGAAAATGGATAGCAAGAGACTCCAACTTTTATACACCACCATTAAAATACAACATATTTTCAATAACTAAATATAAAACTTGCCTCTTTCAATCTACAAAAGCTGCTGAGTATTCTGTGCTGATTTTTTTCCAAAAAAAAGTTAAATTATTTGCATCTCTCTTCAGCAAGCATGCTCAGTTCAATCTTGAGAAAATCAGAATATACTGAAATACAAGTTGAACCTCTCTAGTCTGACACCCTGACTGGTGCCAAACCAGATAATTTGCCAGACTATGGGAGCTCAA